TTTAAGTGGACTTTGGCCGGTGGTTGACCGGCCAATTATTGTTAATTAAGTTTCTATTTTTGTTATTTGTCCTCCGTGTGGTTCATTTTATTTTTTTGTCTTCGCACATAAATCTGGGTCCGCTTCCCGTTGGGTGCTCAAGCTGACCCATACGAAAAAGTGGACGCACATGTTCGTCTGGCCGATCCAAACGGATGAAAAACGAAAAAAGCATGCGTCCGTTTGGGTCGCCGTGTTGGAATTGCTCTAAGGGATATTGATCCGCCCATTCTCCCTCCACCCAACGTCCAGAGTGATTCGCCGGGCCGTCCTACCATGCTCGAGACCATGTCCTGCAGGAAGAGCGCGCACATTGCTAAGCAGCACCTGGCCGGACTCACTGCAGAACAGCGGGCTCAAGTTGTGATGACAAAAAGGATTGGGCTCACTACAAAAGATCTCCATCTTTGGAAGGAAGCCATGGCCAAGCTCAAGGCCATGCTTCAGAAAGAGCTTTCGTTTGAGGAAATCAATGAGGTGGCCAAGCTGTTCAAGATCATTGTTCCAGAAGTGGCACAAGCTTGTGATTTGCCTTCCGCTCCTTTGGGAGATGTCGCAGTGTAAGCTTTTTGTTGGTCGTTCGGTCGAGTTTCTCCATGGATTGTATTAATCTGAATATTGTTTGTTTGAACGTACGTGGCCTAAATGCAGGCGCACGTCGTTCTACTGTAAGAGAGTGGGTCGTTGCCGCGCAAGTGGATGTGGTTTGTTTACAAGAAACTAAAATTGAGAATTTCTCCCCTTACTTGGTTTGGCAATTTCTTGGAGCAAAGTTTGATGAGTACCGCTTCCTGCCCGCTAAGGGACACGCGGTGGGATTCTAGTTGTTTGGGACCCCTCGAAAGTAACCGTAGATTCTGATTTCATTGGTGAATTCTGTCTCGGTTAGGATGTCATATGGAGGCTTCTCCGCCTTCTGGATCACTTCGGTGTACGGCCCGCAGGAGGAGAGGGATAAAATTCGTTTTCTGGAGGAGCTCAAAAACACTCATACCACTGCTCTAGGTCCTTGGGCAATCATGGGAGACTTCAATCTCATATTTGAGGCCAAGGACAAAAATAATCGGAACCTCCACATACGCTTGATGGGCAAGTTCAGACGGTTGGTCGATGACCTGCAGCTTAGTGACATCCTGCTCAATGGTCGCTCTTTCACATGGTCAAATAATAGATACACAACACTATCCTAAGAGCATCTCCAGCCGCGCCCCAACAGGCCTCCCAAGGCCATTTCTTTGGCGCCGGTACCCAAAAATCGGCCCAGTCACGCCCCGCTCCTAGGATCTCGTTTATCGCCGGTTTGGGCCGAAGTAACAGGCGGCGAACCCAAGCCGAACCCCTGGGGGCGCC